CTGCATGACCCTACTCATTTCTTCTTGTATTACGATTTTCTTCTGTGCCGTGAGTTTTTAAAATTTTGCTTCACTTGCACCTGTTGGTAGAGCTCTTGCCAGTCTACAGCACAAGAAGTTAAAAATGGTCTCTTCTGCAGTGTTAGGCCTCCTTTGTTGTGCACTGATACCTTTCGTAACAAAAAAAAACCCAAACAAAACCAACCAAAAAAAACCTTTCACAACCTACTTGTTCCTTTTGATCTTCACTTACAAAAACTGACAGCTCATGCTACTGCAGATTAGTAGTTACTGTTCAACTACCTACTGGGTTTGTGACCTGGCTCTTGGTCGAGGTGAAGTAACTGGTAAAACACACTAATTTTCTAGTGTCTTTTACCTTTTCTGTCACAGGACAAAAATTCTCTTGGGGCTGTTAGTACAGCTCCTTAGATATGTAGTAACTTGATGATATGTCTGAATCCAGGATGAGTTTGATAATCAAGCTCATGAAATTGAAATTTTCAAGTTGAAATGAAATTTCAAGTTGCTTGAAATTTTATGCAATTTAAATGCTTCTGTCAATTTGCTAAAGGTAATGGGGATGAGCAGCTGACAACTTTGTGCCTGGTATATTCTTTACCTTTGAATGTTACCGGTTGTTTACCAGATGGAAAAAAATTACTTTCTGCCAAGGTTGTTTTCAGGATTAGCAGAAAAATGCTGCTTCTAATGTGAGATCCCTTGGTGTGGAAATATTGAATATTTCACTATCCAAAAATTTTTGAAGTATTTTTACACTGGCTTTCTCACTTTCTCAAGTGCTGTGAAAATCTTGGAAGGTGCTTCAGGTTTACTAATTATGGAGAAGAAAGCAGGGAAGCATTGTAGCTTTCAGTATTGCTGAAAATTAATTTTTTGGACATGCAATATTAGATTGCCCAGCAAAATTATATGTATTTTTTTTCACCTTTTCAGGTTTTAATCAATTAAATGGAGAAATCCTGCTTTCAGAAGATGGGCATATTGCTTGCTGCACAACTGGAAGTACGCTACCAAGAGCAGAGGGACATAATTCACTTGTTGATTCAGGAGTTAGAATCGATGCTGAAAGTTCAGGTACCTTCTCCCAGACTGTGGAAATGAGGATAGAGTATTCCCAACCCATAAACATCCAGGGACCAGATGTGGCAGGTGACACGTCTCTGCTACATGCTGAAGTTGTATTACCTGTTGGAGCAGACGGGTCACCTGAAGTCGTTCAGGCACACTTTGTGAGGGAGAATTCAGCAGGTGGACTGTCAGCTCCTGAACTTTGTAACTCGGTGTCGGAGCATGCAGGGGGCACTCAGAGCAACGACTTACCAACGAGCAAAGAAAACGGTCACGATCAAAAATATCCGGAAGTGCAAAAAGAAAACCGTGATTTTGTAGTTAAAGAGCATCCCAAACAACTTCATAATGCTGATATGACCAATGAGATGCAGGAACTTGAAAAAGTTTTCTCAACGAACGTTGTGCCAATAAACTACCCACCCAGCGCTCAGGCCGAGTCGCACCAGGACCCTGTCCAGGAAGCCTCCCTGTCCGCTCACGAGAACCATGAAAACATGACTGAATTTCCCTGTGGGCCAGAGGAACAACACGAGCTGGAGAATACAGTCACTGTAGATGAAGCTGTAGCCTTTGAGATTACTGATGAGAGCCATGATTTTTTGTCTCAGGGACATGAACAGATTTTTATTCAGACTTCAGATGGGCTTATCCTGTCTCACCCAGACACTGCTGTTTTGTCTCAGGCAGAAGGCATCGTTATCGTAACCGATTCCAACGGTACTACAATGCACATTCGCACACCTGAGGGGATACCTTTGGAAACTGTGGAAGCACTACTGGCAATGGAAGCAGATGGCCAAAGTGAAGATATTTTGCTCTCGCAAAGTGAATTGGAGCCATAAATTAGAAAACTGTATAATGCTTTCTTCTGGAAAAGACTGACTCTATAAAATGTATATTTTTCTAATGTGAATACTGAAATAATTGAAATTTAACTTATTTGTAAACTGTTTCTATGCCCTGTAATTTTTATAACTTATGTTTATATAAATCTAGCAGCATTGCAACCAAAAATTCTAGAATTAACATTGTTCTATTTGCTTTATATGTTGGGGATGGGTGGAAAGTGGAAATCTGTCAACCTTAAAACTGTTGCACTATTCCCTTTTGTTACGTAATTCCTTTTCTCTTTAGCCATCTAAAAATGCAGTAAGTTGTACTGCTCTTCAGCGGTGATGTGCTGTGTACTGGCAAGCTGTATATGGGTAAAATAAAAACTATATTAAAAATGTATGTTTTCTGTGCCATTGAGATTACAAAATACTTCGTTATTGCACTTTCTTAAAGCTACCTTGAATATTTATTAGCATCTAGACTTGATGTGCGTAAATCTACTTGGGAAAATGGGCAGTTTAAATATAATCTGTGCATTCCAGGAACAGTGTGACAGCCTAGCTGATCCTTACTTAAATAGCATCCAATTAGGGACAAAAATAGCCTCAAACAAGATTTGATTTGTGTTGAACTGTCGGAAATGTATTTGAGTTTGCTTGTCTGATGTTCAGCCACACCATTAAAAATTGCTGTTAGTTAGACAGAAATGGGAAGGTGTGTTAAGTAGGGATCTGATTTTCCTTAATGAGATACCAAATTCTTTTTTTTTACTTTAGTCCGAGATGGTCTGTTTTTGTTAGATTTGTGTTATACTTTTTTCTTTCAGATAACGCATCCTTTATCGGTTCTAAGCTTTGAGCTTCCTAGCAACTCCACACTGCCCTGTACTATTTAATCATAATAAAAAGGTATCCTTGACTATAATCCCTGTTTCTCTCTGCAGACAGAAAATTTACTAAACTACTCATCTGCTGCTATCTTGTATTTTTGTCATACTTCCAGTATGTTGCTTGGATGAATATATTTTTGTGGAGACCTACCTAACAGCTTGTCCAAGGCACTGTCTTCTCTTTCAAGAAGCTTAGCAGGTAAAAAAAGAACACCCTTAAATGACTGATAGCTTTATTTTGTTCATGAGCTATTGTAGACATTACTGAAAACTGGTAACATACCTTTAAAATGTGTGTGTTGCCTCATTGCTAAATACATGAGACATGGACAAATCAGCTAAAAGGATCTGTAATATGCAGGAGAACTGTTTTTAAATCAAGTATGAACACTGATTTTTCATGGTCTTGTTACTGAGCAGAAACTTACACTAAAATTGAATCTAAAACAAGTGAGAAAACAATTTAGAGATTAAACAATCTGCTCTACTGTATCCCTTTAACTTAGCTGGGGTTGGGTTTGGTTTGTTGGGTTTTTTCTTTTTTTCCTTGGTTGCCTAAATAGAGGGTTAATTTGGTTAGCCAAAATGCTGCCTTTTATGTGTGGACCTGAAAGATACATATTGGTGAACTCCTGTCTGGTTGGGTTTATGGTGTAGTTTTTGTTTGGAGTTTTTTTACCCCTTTTTTTTTTTTTTTTTTTTTTTTTTTTTTTTTTTTTTTTTTTTTTTTTTTTTTTTTTGGAGGTGGTAGTGGTCAGAGGATACAGGCACACCTTATAAGTGAAGATACCACACAAAACAAGGTTCTGCTGCTCTTTCCAAGTCTTTGATTGCAGGGAGGAATTCTTTATTACACTCTTTTGTACTGACTTGGAGGGCTTCAAATGTAACAATCAACTGCTTAGAGCTATAATGGCAAAACATCTCTGCAATGATTTTGCTGTAATCTTCCTGTGCCTGATAGCAGTCAACGAGCAAGGGGGGCTGTGAATATGAAGACTTTGTCCTGAAGAGCTTCTTTCCTCTTAAGAAACGAGAACAAACCACAATTTCCCCCTGTGCTGAAAATGACAATTTGCTTCAATTCTGCCTTCCCTATTGATTTGCACATGCTGGGAAATACAATACACCTACCCTCCCCTTAAAAGAACAATTCTATAAATGAACCAACCTTTTCTCCTTGGAAAATATTTTTCAAGTATGAAGGTGTTTCCATAGTGACAAAGGTCTGGCCCTGCTCAGCTAAATTAAGGTGGCTGTTAAAATAGGTGGAACACTTGCACAGAAAAATAATAAACCCCCAAAAAAGCTATTCATAACTGCTTGTATTCTCCTTGTGCTACAGCAGAATTTCTTTTTAGACCTAGAAATTTGGGGTAAGAATAGAACACTATTAAGCTGCAGAAACTACCTCATTGTTGTACAGAATAGCCCATCGAGAAAACTTTTCTAATTCATGTCTGTTTCTCCCATTATTCCAGGAAATTCATGTATTTCCCCTACCAGCCTTATGAGATTTCAACTTGGAACTTGTTAAGTAAGTGACCCTACTTTTCCTATTGGAAATCTGTTCCCGAGTCGCTCGTTGTTTTAATTAGATCTTTCTAGTGTCAATCCACAGCCGTTACGGTCATTTTACAGCAGTGTACATTTCATGGTACTACCTTTTAGTTCAAATAGTTGTTCCAAGGAGAATCAAGAGTAAACACCTGTCAGGGCACAACAGTGAGTCAAAGGCACTTAGAAACACTCCATAATTTTGTAAAATGGGAGATCTAAATCTAAATCAACAATTTATATAGGAGCAGGTCATACGGACAATCAGTCAGTGGGAAGAATTTAGATTATTTATCATAATGAAGTAAGCAGAAGGCCTAAATCCACTATACATTAGGTTTTTAACTAAAAACTTTTAACTTGGACCACAAGAAGTGCTGAATTTCTATGGTGAAAGGGACAATGTAGGTATTTTAGACTGTCAAGACTTGGAAAGTAGTGAAATTCTTTGCTGTAGGTGTCTATGTGCCTTGAATCCCCCCCAGAGCACCAAGTAGCACTTGCCTCTTTCTGATTACAGGGCACTGAGCCTCTGACCTGTAGCCTTTCTATTGCACTTAAAGTGGATAAAGCAACCAAAACCAGCTTGTCCCATGCAGAAAAAGGAGTATCAGCTGAGACAAAATTATAAATACAAATGGAGAAAAATATTTTTAATAAGTTTTACAAAAACTCAACTTAGTAAGCCTTGCAGTTTGCCATTTCAGTTCCACGCAAACATCAGTAGAAGGAAGCCAGGTAACGTTTTAAATTCTAGCACTGTCTGTGTCCTGTTTCCAGCAGCATGGCTTCAAGGAGCAGTTTGCTGCTGTTTTCAATGTAGGGCTGGTATAACCACGATGATAAATAGACCATCATCAGATCCTGGTCAGCAGAATGAGCAATTTCTTGGACAATTGTTTGCTTGAGTTGTAGTTCCTTCTTGTACATTTCAGAGAGCTTCAGAGAAACCTCATCTGAAATGAATTGAAAAACCAAGTCCATTGACCACAACACATTTCAGCAATTCTCTACAAGTTAAATTATACTTGGAATATGTTTATCATTAAAAAAAACCCTACCTTACACGAGCTATTCTCCATACTTAGACATCTGGGGTTTTACAGCACTTTTTTTACACTAGAAAATGAAACACTAAACATTTTCCTCAGCTTTTGGATGTATTTTATACACTTGTGATTTTGACATGAATCCCCTTTTAAGTCCAGAATAAGCAGTGGTTTTGATTCTCAGGACCCACCGTAAAATTAGCAATTATAGCTATTCTTTCAAATAACTGAAATTTTATTTTAAAATTTGGTAATGCTATTTGGAAGCTTGAAATACAAGCTTCAAAGTTTAGAGTCACTGTTGATTTTAGCTAATATAAAGGATGTCCTCACGTGCTCACTTTAGCAACACATGATCACCAATAAGTGATACCAAAATTGGAAAGTAATGGTAAAACTAAATAACAGACCAAACCTGAAGTGCGTAATGTAAAAATTAATATTGTTACTTGTTTTGTTAGTAATACTGGTAGGGGGGCTAAAATATATTTATGTAATCTTTCTGAAAAATAACCACACAAATTATTTTTAAAGAGAGACTGATCTTGTGTTTCCAACTTAGCCTGAGCTATCACTCCCTTCAGGAGGATTTAGTCTTTCATGGAGCAGAGAGCATCAGCAAATGATTCAGTCACAGAGAGCGTTTTGACAGCAGTTGTCTTTGTCATTCCTACCCTTTTAAGCTGGCAGAAACTAATACATAAAATTCCCCCTGCCTTGTGGTAGTGAAGTGGAAGCAGGGCTTCACAAAGGTATGACACTCACTTCACAAAGGCAGCAGCTGGTTTGCATGCAATCAGGCTTCTCTTGAATTCAGACAGTTTTAAAACTGCGGTAATACGAGGTGGGAGGCAGTACCTTTTGCCATCGAGTGAATGCTGAAAGGATTGATATTAACATTTAGAGAGTAATTGAACATTTTTTTACTTGTCTTGACTGACGTTGAGATCAGAGGAATTTTTCTTTGGCTGCCTGAGAATTAACTGAGGTATAGTTTGTTCTTTGCATTCGAGGATTTAATTTCAGTGTCGAGTAATAAGTCAAGTCAGTTAAGCCTTCAGCTTAGTGCTACCAAGTTGCAAATACATCTCTCTCTACAAAGGAGGTGGCTGTTGCAGCTTGGACACTGTAAGCTGGTGACAAGTGTGGTTTTATGCTGCAACTGCTGCCTGTCAGACAACACTTGGCAATTCCTACACACAGTCAGCAGCAGGAACCCTAAGCCCAGCGGTGCATTCATGTGTTTATTGATTAGTCAATTATAAAGGAGACAGATACACTCTCTCTCTCTCTCTCTCTGTAAGGCAAGACATCCAGATAAAAGGGTTTATTTTCCAGTCCTAAATTAGATGACATCAAGGACACAACGCAATTAGCTAAGATGATCAATATTTTACTTACAGAAGTATGGTGTGGGCCATGTATGAAAGAAGGGTGCTGTGCAATTCCCAGCTCTGTGGTGGAATGCTTCCAAGTCACAGATTGCTTTAGCAGTCGAAGTAAGCTTTTCCATTTTCAGTTGTATTTTTGTCTGAAAATCATGAACGTGTAACATTAATGAACATCTCAGGATCATTAGGTTAGTAGAATATTAAACATTTTTTTAAAACACTATTTCTGAAAACTATTTAGTCTTAACATTTCTAACTCTCTTTTTTTTAACTTCAGACAGGAATCAGAGCTGGAATTTATACAGAGATTTAATATGAAATACCCTAAAATTTTGAACACTACAGATATGACTTACTGACTCTGATTTTGCATAATTCTTTTATTTTCCTCCTGTAGAAATATATTAAAGTGCACTCTCATTTTTTCACCTCTCTCTGGGTTTTTCCTATAGTGATTTAGCACTGGGGAAAAACATCAGCCTGTCTGTAACAACTGTGGCACAAGCCCTATAAAAACATGCTTTCTTACATTACCATGTCAAAATGACTTAAATTTGATTTCAAAATAACCCTGGCAGGTGAGAAAAGCAGCTCAAGCTACAACTGAAATATATCTAGGCTGATTTAACAGTTTGCTTTAAAAAAATAGGTCATTCCATCCATTTCCTTCATGTTCATCTAACTTTGTGCGTTACTGATGGGGACTAATATTTGCAACAAAATAGAGCTTGCAACCAGTCTCCTGAAGTCAAGAAGCTAAAATACAGATATTTCTATAAACTCATAAGCTGGAACAAACTCGTAAGGAATGAAAAATAAAGTATGTCTTTAGTAGCTATGTTTAGTATCCAATCTAGGACTGGCTGCTTAGACTCAGGAGTAATACAAAATTGCATCAACCACTTGGTAATCTGAATACGAAACTACCTCAAGGAAAAAGAAAAAAACACAAATTGCTGTTACTTTTTCCCACAGAACAAAATTTGAGGAAAATCCAATTGCTTTCCTGCTTATTCTGAATACTGCACTGGTATCCTGTCTATATAAAAAAACAGATCTGTCATCTTTTAAATGGACCTCCGCTATATGGCAGAAGGCTGTAAAGGTTCCTTTTAATAAGAATTTTAAATTACAGTATCAGGCAAAAAAAAATATTCTTTTTGTTTCCTATCAAACTGACAGGTGACATTAATTTCTAGCAATGTACCCAGAAAAAAGGTGGCTTACATAATAATTATCTTACTCTACTCTCTAGAGAAGGAGTTCTGCACAGAAAATGCCGGTAGGCAGACTAAAAATATAACTGCATTATGTCTGATCAAAGACAGGTGCAAAGATATGATGGCAGGTAAAGCACTGGTTTATGCTTTGTTGTTTGTTTTGTTCTAAACGGAAGGAATATTCAGGATGCAAAAACAGGTGCAGTTTTAGAATGCATTTTTTGTATGATTTGTTTTCAGATCACTTTCTAAAGAGAGGAGTAGAATTATAAGCAGAAGGCAGATGTAAAACCAACTTTCAAATTCACCATTTAAGCAAATAAATGGTGTATACTGGATTTATAACAATTTAGGTTTGAAGCCAAAGAGGCATGAATAAAAATCGCAATTTTCTGTTTACAACAAATACTTGAGGACTTTTCCTTATGTCATATTTGAACACACTTAAAATTGATACGTATTGACTAAGACTGAAAAATGAGCATTACCATACACTTTAAGGTCTCAAGTAATTCTGCACAGCAATTGTCCAGTTCTTCATTGTATTTTGGAGTCGGCTTTTCAGATTCTGTGGCACTGTTATCACACGCTATCTCCAGTTTGTTGTCTTGAAATCTAAAAAAGAAACGTAAGGCAAAGGAAACAACTACATATAGGTTTACTTGAGCTCTGCAGATTTAAAATCCATGGGGTCTGATCCTACAAAATATCTCTCACAGGCTGTTCATGAGAATTCCTACATAAAAATAGTAGGAGACATAGCTAGCCACGTGAGCAATTTGGGCTGGTACCATAATCTTCAAAGGAACGTAGAATTACTCTACCTTAGAGCATGTCCTTGAACAAACAGTTGCAGCTGTTAAGATAACACCTCTTCCCATTTACCTTGCCCCTGTGTTGGAGGTTATTCTCTCATAATGTACAAGGCTTGCCCAGGCTCCAGCTGATGTTCTGGTGCCTCACCACAAACTCACCTTCATGCACAATTTAAGCCAAGACATTTAACTGTGAACTCAGTGCAGACACCTATCCTGTCTTCCTGTCTTTCCCCCAGAAGCTGCAAACTTAGACAGGGGAGAGGGAGTTGCTAGAGAGTGAAAGCAACATCTGACACCATTACAGCAAAATATTCCCGAGCTTGTACGTGTCAGAACCCTGTCAGGCAATCCCTGTTCAGCTGTCAAGACTCTGGAGAAGTCTCCTCTCAAAACCCTCTTAATTATAGGTTCTTCATTACAGTATGAAGATAATAGCTCTACCAAAGTTATCTTTTTTTTTTTTTCCTCTTTAAATCATCACTGTTAGAACTTTTTTGTCTATATAAATCACTGATTCTTTCTTAAAATCTGCCGAACTTTTGACTTAAGTGAAATCTGGTAATAATGGACTCAGTACACATATGCAAGAGAGTAAGTGAACTAACAGGGGCTGAGATCTATAGGATTAGATTCTAACTTTATACATTATATAAGTGTTTTAAATATCCATTATGCTTGGCTATGTATAATAAACATCTTCCATTTCTTGCGAATATCATTACTTTGTGAAATTATTTTAATCTTTATGAGACATTTATTATTTGAATGTAAATAGTTTATGTAACCAAACAGTGCAACTAGTGAGTTTGATCTAAGAGCTAGCTTATCCACTCTGACATGTTCTTTCCCCATCTCCAAAAATAACTTTCTAGTGGAGAAAACAGATTAATTTCTCAATGAAGGCAATCTTTATGCTGTCTTCACTTGTATGTGTTATTAGCATACTTACTGCTCACTGATCTTCATGTTGACTATTTTGTTTGCTGTAGTAAATCCATTATCATTCAGTCTCTCCCATTTCATCATTAAATTGTGCCAGTCTGCTGCATTATCTTTAATTTTTCTTGCACTGACAGATAAAACAGGTCTTCTTGGAGTACCATCGGCAGGACTTTTTGCTATATGAGAAAATAAAGAAATTCAAGCTATTTAAAGCACACAAACCCAAATCACTGTGCTGTCCAGCAGCTGTTTGTGTGAACGATTTCCTTGCTTTACTGCTGAATATTGATTCAAGTAAAATGGAATTTACGTTGACTGTCTTAAGTCATGAATCAAATCCCTCATCTGTCAGCCTTGTTAGTAGTTACACAAGCATGTTGTGAGATGTGATATTGTCAAGTGGGCAGCAGTGGCTTTGCAGTCAGTCTTCTGTCCATGTGGGATGCTCAAGCACTAACTCAGCATATGATGGTGAGAACTCACGGCAACAATTAGTGTGTGCGTGCCGCGCTCACGCCACGCCAGCATCAATTCACACCTACAGGTGAGCTCGCAGCGTTCTGGAGACAGCTGGGTCCTCCTGGAGATGGAGATCCTTCACCCCTGAGCCTAAAACTGCACTCTGGGATGTGTCGTTGGAGGGGAACCTGCCACCAGCACCACCTCAGGGAGGGCTGCCAGCGGCCGGTTCTGCCCAGTGCCGGCACCTTCAGGCCCAGTCAGCCCAGGGGGCTGCAGGCCCCGCTCCCATCACTTGCCGTTTTTAACTTTTATTCACAGGGACGCTTGAAAAGCGCTCACAAACCCAAAGTTCCGCCACACGCATTGGCGTCACTGCCTTCTCCCGGGGGAACGAGCACGTTCCTCACCCACATCCAGGCGTGGAGGTAACACGCCGGTGGGCTAACCTCAGACAGCTTGTTCGTTTACCTCGGAAGCGCCAGGCCTCTGGCTGCTCCCCGGGCCCGGCCCTGTCCTCACACCGCCCTTCGCTCCCACCCAGGGCCTAGCTGGGGCCGGGGACGGTGCAGTCTGAGGGGATCCCCCCCGCAGCCGCCCTCACTCACCCGCCATGGCGGCGCCCCGCGGAAGTGCGCTCACGTCCGGCCCCGCCCAGGCCCGGCCCCGCCGAGCGGCGCAGGCAGCCGGGGCCGCCGCCGCCTCGGGGCCTGGGCGACGACGCCGTGATCTCTCCTTCCACCACCATCACCTCCTCCTCTTCTCCCCGCCGGCAGCTATGGCCGCCCCGCGCTCCTGAGGAGGTGAGTGGAGCCGCTTCTCCGAAGGAGCCGCCTGAGGGTCTGCCCTGGGTCTTGCTCCCCTTCCCGGCCGCGGTAAGCGGGGCCTGCCTGGGCCGCCTGTTGCGGCTGAGGTGATGGGGAGCGGGCCATATCTCTCCCCCCGCTCCTGGCGGCTCCGCTTCCGAGAGTGCTGTGGCGTTTGGGGAGGGCGGTGGGTCCGGCGGGGGGAGAGGCGGCCCTTGGGTGCCTGTGAAGCGGCTGGAGGGGCTTCGCTGCCCTCCCCTTCCCCGGCCCGGCTGGGGCTCCGGGTCCGGGCTGTAAATCCGTTATAAGCTGAGGTAAATCCGTCGGGAAAGCGGGGCCGGCGTTACCGGCTGTCGGACCGGGAGCCCCCGGCTGTGTTCCTTCTCCCCTGCCAGCAGCCGCAAGCCCTCAGGCGCGGGAACGCGGCGTAATTAAGAAGGAATGGTTTGAAACACCTGCCAGAACATGGAAATGCATTTAAGGAAGGAAGGAGGGTTTCCTAGAGAAACGGGGTGTCCCAAGAGAAACGGGGTGTCCCAAGGCCATCAGAGTAAAGCCTTGGTGTACCTGTATGGGTAAGGGACCCCAGGTGCGCCTTTTCCTATCCTTTCCATCTCTGTCACTAAGGTTTGTGGTTTTGTGGTTGGGTTTGTTGTTGGGTTTTTTTAAAATTATTATTATTATTTTCAAAGGAAACTCTTCTGAGCCAAAAATGGAGCAGGGGTGTTCCTCAGGTGGCAGTGCCCGGTGCTCTGGCTGGTCCCCAGCCCCAGCGGGATGGGTGAAGGCAGAGCTGGGTCTCAGTGGGGTCTGTGTTTGTCTGCTCCCCTCTCCCTGCTGGCTGTGGAAAGCCCTGGAGATGGGGCAGTCGGGTAACCTGCTCCTTAGGCTAAAAACTTGAGAAATATTGGAAAATAAATCCCCTTTACTTTTAATTGGCAGGGTCCAGCTGATCTCAGAGGCTGTTGTGTTTAGCTGTGGTCACACGTACGAGTTTGTCCATCCTCTGAATGGCTTAAATTTAAGTTTTTATGCCAAGGAATAATAAAGCCAACCCGAACAGAGCTGTTTGTCCCTCTGGTACAGGCAGGGCATTTGGGCTCAGAGAAATGCAGTGACAGCTTTAGTCTCCTGCAGTCAATCCATGGCATACCCTGGCACTGAACCTTTAGCCACTGCCGATCTGTTTAACTGTGGGGATTATCTCTCAGTTTAGATGTCTCTGTTGGGCAGCATTGAGCCTCAGTGCTGTTTCTGAGACCAGAGAAAACGTGAAAAAACAAAACCCCTTGCTTTTCAAAACATGGCCTTGACTGCAGCATTTAAAAGCTTGTTGTGAACCTTGCGAGTTGAGGACAGACTCCCTTTGGTAGTTGTTTTTGATGTGCAACATAAGGTATTTTTCTCTACTTTATCTCTGCTTAGCACAAGCTGATTTGCCCCATACAGCTGTTATGTACTTCAGAGTAAGTGTGGCTGACACAGTGAACATGGGCGTTCAGTTCCAAAATCTGTCTGAGAAAATAGAGTCTATCCACTGTTTGCCTCTGATTAGCGAAGTAGGAAAACCAGGTAACGTACAAGCCTAAAACTCTTAATAAAGAGAAAGAGACTACATGTGATACACAGTTGTGATTAAGGGGATGTTGGAGACTTCCAGCTCAAAAGGACAGAATTGTGGTGTTTATGCAGAATTTTTTAATATATAGGCCACATTGCAATTCTGTAGTCCTTCATACATTTGTTTTGTGTAGATAAAATGACTTAATTAGCAGTATTTTTAGTAAAGTGATGATTTGAGCTTTCAGTTGTATGTTTTCCCACAAGCAATGCAAGTGTTTTGTTAGTCTGTAAACCACTTGAGATGAAACTAATTTGTGTATGATGGCAAGCAATTAATAGATTATTAATACACTTATGATTGTACAGTGTGAATGGGTTATAGAGAGCAAAACTTAATTTCATTTTTTTACAACTTTGCTGTCAGAGAAGATTGAAATAAGATTGCATATAAATTTTATGAAGAGAGCCCTAACCTGACAGGAGGTTTTTAAAATTTAACTTAGTATATGACAAGAAATAATTCCTCCCAGTGTTTTCTGGAGGGGGGGGAGGAAAGCCCTATCAAGCGCTTCCTTTTTTTTTCTTTTTGTAAATTGAAGTTACAAAACATGCATCAGGTTGAAGATAGTGTTGTTCTAGAGGGAAGAGTGCTAGTCTTTTTCTGGATAATAGGAATTTCCATAAATCCATAGTTTGTAATGAATTATTGTATTTTTAACAGTTTAATTGTGATGGAAGTATAAGTGATGGAAATAAGAGAGGATGAATTTTGAGGACGTGCAAGGTCTTTTGGCAACTGGGGATTGAGAGCTAGTTCTAGCTATGAGAGCAGCTTGGGATGATGACAGATGTGAATTGTAGGATGACAAAGGGGACTTCAAAAAGAAAATATGTGAAATTCATGAGGCAGTAGCTGGGGAGTGGTAGAAGTTGAGATTAGACAGAAGAAGATTTGTAAGTGTGTGGCTGAGGACAAAGAATGGATTTATTTTATGAGAAAAAAAGAAAGGAATAATAAAAAAAGGACCAGCAGCTAGTAAAATTACTAAACTGGCAAAGCAGCATATTTAGAACAGCAAACAAGGGACTTCAGCAGTGGGTTTTCTTTTTATTTAGTTGACTGTAGATAGAAAATAGTAAAAGCTGAAGGAAAGAGCAGGAGACCTAAAAGAAGAAATAAGAATAAGAAATAAGAATAAAGAAAGATAAGAAATAAATGGTGTGTGAAAATATTGTAAAAGACTGATAATGCCCTGAAGTTATCTGTTAACTTAGTAAACAACTCTGAAAGGAATTCTTAATTCAAAAATAGTTTCGACACATTAATCAGCTAGTGCTTGTGATATTTTATGAAATAGGTGTCGTGGCAGGTAGCAAACACTGGAGGAGGGTGGAATTAATTTCTAAGATCTAGCAAGCAGTAAAACTTACTACAATTAAGAACATCTAATAATTGCTGCTAGCTTATTTAGTGGCAGTTTTTGTAACACAGATAAAATATGGGTTCAGTAACCACTTTATTCCTGGTCTTGTCTAACATGGGCTTGAATGGGTAATGTCATGCAAGTAATCCCTTTGGATTTAGTGGAATTGTATGTTGACAGCAAGTGTTGCAGGGCCCAAAGCCAGTGTGCTGAACACTCTTGCACAATAACTGAAATAGCTTGAAAATTGAGACATCAGATCTTTTTGCAGTAATGGAGATACTAAACTAGAGCAGCTATGTTTTTTTCTAATTTAGTTGATAAACACCGTAAGCAACGTATGAAGCTGCCAAACAAATATAATTTTCCATCCTTAGAGAAATAAAAACTAGGCTCAATAGGAAATATCACACAAATTGCAGTAGGAATGCTTTACAGAATAACTTTGAGCATTTTGAAATGTTTCTAACTTCAATTGCCATTTTTCTGTTTTTCATTTCTCTAAGGAAGTTACAACTCTCCTGAAGCTTATGAAAATCTTCAATGTTATGGGCTTAAGCAGCCATAGAAAACTCTTCTTTATAGAAATCCAAAATCCTTGTCTTGGAAAAATGTATTTTTTGCAGATACTGAAGCATTCTGCTAATCAGACTTGCCCATGGCAAAATGCAATTCAAGAAGTGAAGGTTTCTTTCCTTTTCCCTGTTCTGAAGTGCCCGAACCACAACGTGAAGTCATCCATGAGGAGAATAGCTACTGCTGCAAACTGTTCTTGTTAAGACTGTCACCCCATAATGAGAAAAAATTACTGGGTTTAATTACATTTTAAAAATATTTTTATTTACATCATGGTCATATCAGCTTCTTCTGAAGATCTCAGTACATTATTACAATGATGAGCTCTGACTACATTTTTTTCTTGAACAAGGCAAACAGAATATTTTTTTTTCCCGTTATCCCAGAGTTGTCCCCTAAGTGCATGTACAGTGTCACTCATCAGCATAAAATTATTTGCTTAACCTTAAAGGGAAACACGGGCATATGGTACATTTATCTATTTGTCTCTTATCTTTCTGAATTCAGTTGCTACATAGATATTTTCCTGTGTCTGTCAAACTGGGATTTCTTTCATTTTAGCATTGCCTCTTACATCCTGCATTACTTTTATTTATTTTTTTGTTATTATTTGGTTATATAGCAGATGTAGCTCTAACTGAATTGTTTCTGAACCATGTTTTTCTTGGGGTGCAGGGCATTAAGGAGTTGAGGGTGTGTACTAGTTTGACACTTTGATCTCATTGTGCTGTCTAACACAATGAATATCCCGTGCTTTCAGCGCTGGGAGAATTGAGGGTAGAGTTTGCAGATCCATGAAGAAATAGACCACACGGATTGTTCAGTGTCAGAGCCCTTACGGTTCTTTCACCAGCTAAATGAGAAGAAATACTGCATTTGAACTCAGCTTTGATGACCTCACAGCTGCGAGGAAAAGTGGTTGTCTGGTATTTAGTGGTTGCCCTATATCCTTAGATGTGGGCTGAACCTAAGAAATAAGCTTATTCTTAAGAAAGAGGTTCTTCTAAAAAGAACTTAAATTCACTAGAAGAGTTTAACTTGTTTTTTCTTCATACAAAACAAAACCTGAGAATTTCTTCATCCCTTCTTGCTCAATGGTGGCTTTCTGTTAACTGTTCACTCTTTCCAAGAAGTTAATGACCTGTCTTTTGCTTTTGTCTTTCAGATTTCCTTATGTGATTGAGTAGATGTATTTATTTCAGCCTCAAAATTGCTGATGCCAATGCTTG